GTATGTCTGTCTATCTATCTGTCTGTCTATCAAATTCAAATGAGCTTTATTGGCATGACTTGCACAGTATTGCCAAAGCATTGTCCATTACATGAATAAACAATTATATAAGACATAAACAAAACAACAATAGATATGTAAAATAATTAAGTAAATAAGTACATGTGTACTTTTTTCCCCCACAAACAAGACACAAGAAAAATATTAAAGACATTGTTTAAAAAAAAAAAAAACTTTGCACAACAGTACAACATGTAAGAAATGCTCTTGCTTCAGTTTTGTCCACTGGCTGACAGTCTTAGTTTGTGACAGGCTGATACATATCTTGCTGCTGTTGGGATCATTTTGTAATCTTCCCCTAAAATGTGACTTATTTTTTCTGTATTTGGTAATGCCATAAAATGTGCTTTAATTAGTTTGAATTTGGGGAAATATGCAGCTCTAATGTTGTGATAGTAATCCCAGTGCAGTAAGAAATGTTCCTCTGTTTCCAGCTCTTTCTGCGAGCACAGTGAACACAGTCTCTGTTCTCGCGGCTGCCATCTCTGTCTGTGTCGTCCTCTCTCTATAGCCATACAGTGATCACTCAGTCTGTATTTTGTCAGTGTCTTTCTTAATTTGTGATCTTTTACACAGCTCAGATATTCTGCTGGTTTCTAGTCTCTTTTCAGGTGTAAATACAGCTCCATCTTCTTTTGTAATTTAGTGGCATCTTTCCAATAGGCAATGTAATTTTGTTTTTTTTGGGCAACTGTGTGATTTGTTTGGGCCGGATTGTGCTGTGCTGGTTGGGTGTAGTTTGAGCACCAGCTGTAAAAGGGCCCTCTTCTGCAGGTTCTGCTCCTGCCACTGCAGGGCTTCAGTCTGGTAAGAGCTCGGATCACTGCGTTTCAGGTGCTGGTGGAATTTCAGAGCTCTCTTTTGAATATTAATTAATAATGTGTATTGTCCTAATTCAGCTCTGCACGCGTTGTTTGGGGTTGCTCTGTTAACTTTTAAGATGCTTTTACAGATTTGGGTATGCATAATTTCAATTTCTTTCAAATTTTGGGTTTTTAGGGGTCCCCATATCTCACTGCCATAAAGAGCGATTGGTTCGATTATTGCTTTTAGGATTTTTAGCCAGGTTTGAATTGGAATTTCATACTGAATTGTATTTTTGATCACGTAGAAGACTCAGTGCCTTTGCTTTCAGTTCTTTCACAGCCAGATTGAAGTTCCCTGTTGAGCTGATTTTTAGTCCCAGATAGGTGTATTCATGGGTGGGTTGAAGGACCTGGTTTTCCGCTCTGAAAGTGTATTTATTTTCCTTACACCTGGGTCTCTTTTGAAAAATCATTAGATTCATTTTAAGAGCCCATGTTTGACTGAATGTCTCCATGATGTCTAGGAGCTGTTGTAGTCCCTCTATTGTTTTTGACAGAATGACTAAATCATCTGCAAAGAGGAGACATTTGATTTCTTATTCAGTTAGGGTTGGGCCGGGGGCAGTCGAATTGTTTAATTATTTGGCTAATTCATTTATATAAATGTTAAACAGAGTGTGGCTCAAAGGGCAGCCTTGTCTATCTATGTTGTCTTTCTATCTCTCCCTCTCTCTCTCTCTCTGTCTGTCTGTCTATCTCTCTGTCTGTCTATATATCTCTCTGTCTGTCATTTGTAACATGTAGACTGATGTTGATAATTAGATTTAAATATTTATATACTTTTTCAAAATTATAAATTTATATTTCTGGAATTTCAAATACATGTAGAAGAGTACTGAGTGTGAACCATCAAGCATTGGTTTTGGCCTGCCTCCACGGCTGATCCAGTTGTTACACATTCAAGGTCATTTGACTGAGGTCTGGTGTAACATGAGAGCAGCATCTCTATCTGGCAGAAAGCTCTCTGCTCTTCCCCTGCAGCCCATCCATCCTGCATAACACTCCATCTACACACAAAACTCTTCTCTTCTGCATGGAAATAAAGAATAGCTGGGATGCTCAATATAGGACACATTTTAAAAATGCATGACCTTTAATGACTGTTCATTTATATCTTTATTGCTTTCTTCCCCTGTGGATTGTGATAATTCTGTGGATTCTCAAAGCACCACGTAACGTACGTCATCCCAGATCAGAAGCAGAAAATTACTCCTTTATTTCAAAGGCAAGTCGTTTATCGCCTTTTCATGTGAACGACATGAGATAAATGAATACAGTTCTCATGAAAAAGACATATGTTATGTTAGCGCATTCAGAATGCTATCTCATGAGGGAAAGCTTTCTTTGCAAACAAAAGCCTTGTTTTTCTTACATACCTGGCTTTGAATCAGGCTAAGATGCAACAGGGCTGTCCTGTTTGGGCAAATTCTCAGTAATAATGCTTAGCTCCCCAACAAATCTATCACTTCAGACGTTTAGGCCAGTCGAAATCTGAGCTTGGTGCAGGTTGTACGGAGGGATTGGCTGGCTTGTTGCTAAGTCAAAGTGCAGTAACTCATCGGAGGGACAGGGCATTCCCATACTGCTGAATAGAGCACGCACCCCGTTAAGCAGAGACACATACACAAGTGCGTGTCGCAGCTTGTTGAAATATCATGGGAAATTGCACAAGTGCACCTGCAACAGGCTCCCTGGATATGCATGAGCAGAATGTTTTGTGCAATCAAAAACATAGAAAAAGACACTACAAATTAGAATCAGTTCAGCGTAATGAGCGTAATTCAGTGTTTGTTATGCATGAGTATTTGTAAGTGATTTAACATTGTACATTTTATGTTTGTTTTTTTACAAAATAAGGCTTGGGACCCCCAGGGGGCCACAAGGTGTTCCATGGGGGGGTTAAATAAGTTTAAAACTTACTGAATTTGGCTTTGTTGTTGTTTTAGAATACCTTCTAAAGACTGGTTATAAATCATGCCATTAATTTGGACCACATAAACACATTTCATTACACCAAACACACAAAATAATGTTCTTTTTAGCAACATCATATGACCCCTTTAATACAAAATAATAAAAAAAAAAAAATATTGGGAAAAAAAAAAAAAAGCACTTTTACTTTGCATTCAAGAATTAACAAAAATATTTATAATGTAAATATTTATATTCACAAATAAAATTCACATATACATACTGTATATACATATGTATATGAAATATATTTGATGTATACATCAATAATATTACAGTGAAATATTATTGCAATAAAATAGTTTTCCATTTTAATATATTTTAAAATGTAATTTATTCCTGTGATTTCAAAACTGAATTTTCAGCATCATTACTCCAGTCCTCAGTGTCACATGATCCTTCAGAAATCATTCTAAGATGCTAATTAAGACATATTTATTATAATCATATATGTTGACATTTTTGTGGAAACCGTGATACACATTCAAAAGTTTGGGGGGAAACAAATTGAATTAGTATTTTTATTCAGCAGGGTCACAATAAGGCTAAAAAAAGAGGCTAATCTAAATATTTAATCTGAGAAAGTTTATTTTCCTCAAATTTAAGGGCAATTTATTAAACTGATCAAAATTACATATTAAAATACAAATAGAAAATAATTTATCTTTTTGAAATATATTTTTGATTAAATAAATGCAGCCTTGGTGAGAATAAGAGACTTTTTTCAAAAACATCTTAAAAGTTTTTTTACCGCTTAAAACTTTGGAATATTTTTTTTTTATTCTTTACAGATTAAAATATATGACTGCTTTTATATTTTAATCATATTTTGGCATCAAAAAAAAAAAAAAAAGGAAAACAGCTGGTTTAGGATCAAAGTTCTCACAATTGTTCCAACCCCGAAATGCCTAAAAATGCCCTCTGCTGTGCTAGTAGTGTAACTACAGCTAAAGACACTTGAATTACACATTTCTTTGCATTCAGCCTGATTTAAAAATGCAGAAAGGGTGAATATCAGTATATTTCAACAAGAAAGAAAAGAAAGAAAAAAAAAAAAAAAACAGAAAAACGTTTCAGAATTCAAAAGTGTTTATTTAGTTTGACCAGGTTCTAGCATTACCATCATATACATTTTCCCCAGTCGTAACTTGCAATTACATATATAATATACTATGTGAATACACAAATTGTAAGCATAAAAAAAAATACAAATACAAAAACATGTTATAGGATAATAATAACTATAGGAACAGCAGTGACAAAGTGGAGCAAAAGACAATTCAGTCTGCTTTTGCCCGTTTTCAAAATACATTTTGCAGATTGCACGCTTTAAATGGAGAGAGAAAAAAATCTGAGGTGAGATACCAGCCTCAGAGAAGAAGAAAAAAAAAAAACGAACTCACCGGGGCCCAAGAAACAAGTTTAAGTAAACGGGCAACTGAAATGTAGACCGTGGCTGACAAAGTCCAGCAGACATAAAGACAAGTGAGCTCGGTGCATCAGTGCGCGCATCCTACTATCTCCACCAAGATTTTGGAGGCAGGATGTAAAAAAAAAAAAGCGAGTTTAAGGGCTGCAGCGCCCTACACAGTGATGACCATCACTCTCCAGTGTCACGGCCTGGACGATGGGTGTTTTCAGTGCGCTGTCTGGAGCCTCGGAGGCCATAACAGAGGCACGTTTCACCACGAGACACTGACTCGGTGAGCAAGCAACTTAACACTCCGCCGAGACGAAGCCAAACCTCCTCTCTAGCTGCGAACTCACCGGGGCCCAAGAAACAAGTTTAAGTAAACGGGCAACTGAAATGTAGACCGTGGCTGACAAAGTCCAGCAGACATAAAGACAAGTGAGCTCGGTGCATCAGTGCGCGCATCCTACTATCTCCACCAAGATTTTGGAGGCAGGACGTAAAAAAAAAAAAAAGCGAGTTTAAGGGCTGCAGCGCCCTACACAGTGATGACCATCACTCTCCAGTGTCACGGCCTGGACGATGGGTGTTTTCAGTGCGCTGTCTGGAGCCTCGGAGGCCATAACAGAGGCACGTTTCACCACGAGACACTGACTCGGTGAGCAAGCAACTTAACACTCCGCCGAGACGAAGCCAAACCTCCTCTCTAGCTGCTAAGACACAAGGTTGACGTTAACTAACTAGGTAACAGAGAGGATATGTAAACATACAGGTCTTGAAACCAAACTAGAATGTGGTGTCACATAGTCAAGGTAAGTAAACGTGTAGTATTATTGTTTATAAAACACTAGCCATGTAAACTTCGCCTCGATCAGGCAATATTACGAGATCGGATGAATCTCTGCAAAAAATTATAGCTTGTATACCACTAGTAAAAGCCCTTTGTGTGTGTGTGAGAGAGGATTAGGAAAAATGACATGCACTGAATATGATGCTCTTTAGTCTATATACACGATGTCAAATAGATATGCTTGAAGCCTAGCAAAGTGATGTGTAATTTCCCTGACCACAATTCCAAATGAAATTCAGATAGTGTGTAGGTTCATTAAAGGCAACATTGTCGAAATGTTTTTAAATAAACTACAGGATTATGTATATTTGGAATCAACTTTCAAATAGTTGAACCGAAGCAAATCAAGAACTGCAGTGTTAAACTATGTAGGTATGAATTTTTTTTTCCACTCTTCTAGAAGTGCCCGTTCTGTCTCCATCTCTTACCAAAGTGTCAATAAAATAAGCCCTACAACGCCACTAATTAACAGTCGCCGTCATGTAAATAAAGCGTTGTTCGAAACGGTACTGCCAAAACAAATCAGCTTCGCCTTAATTCTCCAACTAAACCAAATCTAGCTCTGTCACAAAGTCAACAGCGTTAGGTGTTTTTCACCCCCAAAAACGTTTAAAATAGTTCCAGTTTATCCAAAATCCAAGTGGAATGAATGTGGGGATGGAAGACAAACTTGTTCTGTTCTGTTTTTAACCAACTCAAGGCAGCAACAGTAAAACCTCACAAAACGTGAGGAAACTTCGAGGCAAACTGTTACAGATGTTCTTTCACCCTTCTGGTATAAAAACGAACACTATGCGAGTCAAAAAAAATCGAATCAAATCATAATCCCATCTGTTCTTACAAACACGCTGAAATAAAAATCCACCGTCCCTCACCTTTCAACGTTACATACAATCCACCTTAATAATGTAGTAATCTTTTACTTTTTTTAAAAACTCCACTCTCTTAATTATAATTTTAAACTCTCTGGCATAATATACAGTTTTAAGTTGTTGGTTTTTTTTTTGTCCATTTTACCAAAATTGCTCACTGGTCCACAAATGACATGATAAACATATTTTGTGAAAGTCGATAAGAGACCCTGAGTAGACATGATTGGAGCAGGCGTGATTGAGGCCCTCTTTGCTCAGCTTACTAATGATATGCATATTCCTACCTTTCAAACCAAACGATTCAGATAGATCCGCCGATGTCAAGAAACAACAGTCCGGTGTAACTGTGCAGGCACAAACAAGTGTCAATTAATCTAAAACAAAACAGAACATCCATTCCAAATAGGTTGTCATTCCGCTTGACAATTCTCTCTCGATGTGATATGGTGCGTGTTGTTTTGCCCGAAGATATAAAACACAGTTGTTTCACATTCGAGAGCCTTGTTCTTGAAGAATCTGCAAGAGAGGAACAACTGTTAATGGATGGATTGGATGATGAAAGTGAGCATGTCTAAATAAAACAGGGAAAGCCATTAAATATTCAATATATGATTTAAAATCCATCACGAAAATAAGGGACAGCTCACTTCCAACAGTGAATTCCCTTAAATGTTGACAAACACCTCCATGTTTTACATATAATTTCTTTAAAAAGTGTAAATATGGCTGTACATCACTATGCACGGTTTAAAAATATCAATATAATAAATCTTTTAAAAAATCATTCATTTAAATATTAATGTAAACAAACATTTAAAACAAAATATAATGAAATGTATATAAAATACTTTTTTTATATATATATCTGTTAAGTGTCATGATACCATTATAATTTCTATTCATTTTTAAATTAGTTTTTATCATTTCTGTTTTAATTTTAATTCAAGTTCAAGTTTTAGGAATGTATTTGAATTTTTTTTTTTTTAAATGTCTATATAGCTTTTATTCATTTTATGTATGTTATATAGTTATTTTAGTAGATCAAGTTAACCAAAATTAAAAAGTAATGATGCCAGATGGTTTCAGATGAGTTAAACATTTTGGTTAACTATAATAAACCTAAATCAAAAATATTCAATACAAACTAAATATTATAGTTAACTAAAAAGTGTGGTTAAAAAAATAAAAAAAATAAACACATTTGGCATGGTAAAGAAGAATCAAACATCTTTGATTTAGGTTTATTATTTGGCATTATTACTTTTAAAAAGTAATTGTTGTAAACTTTTAATAAAACTAATTCTAACACAATTTAAAACAACTTAAAGAGATAGTTCACCACAGTTGGTGGTTGCCATTGACTTCCGTAGTATTTTTTTTTCCTACTATGGAAGTCAATGGCAACCACCAACTGTTTGATTACCAGCAATCTTCAAAATATCTTCTTTTGTGTTCAACATAAGAAAGCAACTCATACAGGTTTGGAACGACATGAGGGTGAGTAAACGACAGAAATTTCATTTTTGGGTGAACTATCCCTTTAATCTTATTTTATTTCAGCTACAGTTAACAACATCTACAACATGTCTTAATAATATATATTGCATTAAATTAAATCTCTTTATGTTGTAAGAAACCGTGTGGAAAAGAAGCCTTGAAGAATTTTACTTATTGCTGTAAACATTTTTGGCTAATGGCAGTTTGATCGAAAAAGAAAATGTAACATTAAGGCATGTTTGCAGAGCAAATAAATATAAAAAAGTACACTAAACATCTTTAAAAATCTGAAAACTTTTGCCCATAATCACCCAGCCCTAAACGTGAGGCCTTTGCTTCTTTGTACAAGCGTTTGTGAGGCCCTCACAGGAAGCGTACAACAATGCCTTGGTGATACCATCCCAACATGTTTATTACTTTGCATAACCCCTGTTGACCTGATACAGCATTACACTCTCACAGAGCTACTGAAACAGAGCCGAATGAAGCCATAGATTATTCTCAGAAGCTAAACATGTGGCTGCAGCATCTGATGGGGAAGCATTAAATATTGAGCAGGTTTCCCTTCATTACCTGGGATCAGAAAGCGGACTAGATGAGCTGAGGATATAATTGTGGGGCTTTCTAATAGGCACGAGTACAGGCAGACAGCATGCGTCAAATTGAGCATTAGCAACAGAGATTGCTAGCAACAACGAGCGAGTGCCACTGCCTTCAGCATTCAGCAGAGACCTACTTATCAGCTTAAGTGATATGTAAATGATGCCTCACCAAGAAATACTGGAGAAAAAAAAACTATTTCCACTTCCTCAGTTTGCACGGCATGCAGAGAAACAAAACACTCAGGCATGAACACATTTGATCATATATATATATATATATATATATACACACACACACTGTATATACACACATACATACACACACACACACACACACATATATGAATATTATTTCTGCTAATTTGATTATGCTGAATTACAAATTTATATTATATCACAAAGCAAAAAATGCAATTTGAAAGTCACTTGTTTATCTTTTCATGTAAAGAAACAAACTCTAATCATGACAACATGAGTGTTTGCTTGAGGTGGGAAAAAGGGGGGGAAAGATGACTTGTCAATAACTGTGTCGCATTGAGCAATATTACGGAAAAAGTCAAGTGGGCAAGCGAGATGAAGAAAATCAGTAAAACCCATCTTTTGTTTAGACCCTGAACAGGAGCATCAACATCTCAGGAAGGCGATCATTGACTCTACTCGAGTACTGATGCTACGGTCTCTTCAGTTTCTAGTTAGTGATTAGACTGAGCCACTAGACTCTCCCTTAGATGCTTCACTCACCACAGGCTGTTGAACCCCAGACACTTCCTCACACCTGCCACTGACTACAGATGAACTCACTTGAGCACCTAACCGCCCACCGCACCACAAATTACAGCTTGTCCCTCAAACACCCCAAGCGTAAAAGCTTCACTTTGTTTCTGTGCCTTACCCTTCCACCACACGAGCATGAATATGCAAAAATAAAGGCAAACACTATTTAGCATGCTAGTCAAATGAAAAGCAAACTTCCAAAAAGAAAAACTTCCGCTGCTCCTAGATGCCCTTAGATATCATCGATCTCAAATGCTAAAGATTTCAGACTGCACCCTCAAGGCAAACATCACATTTATCAAAACAAATATCACATATCACTATACTAACATGATATACACTTTTTTGCAATGTTCACGGATACGTTGTTTACGTTCAGATCAAAGTGTAAACAACTTATCCGTGTACGGTGCTGCTGACATAGAGAACGTTGTTTACGTATGTGATACTCTCCAAAATGGCACTATAGGAGACAAATGGTTGAATTAAGTTATTTTTGTTTTCTTTGCACACAAAAAATATTCTCGTAGCTTCGTATTATTTTGATGATGTCCTTGTTACGTTTCTGAGCCTTGATCGTGGCAGGATCCTTGCTGTCTGCGGGAGGGTCAGAGAGCTCTCGGAATGCATCAAAAATATCAAAATTTTTGTTCTGAAGATGAACAAAGGTCTTACGGGTTTGGAACAACACGAGGGCGAGTAATTAATGACAGAATTTTCATTTTTGGGTGAACTATCCCTTTAAATTGTGGACATGAATTAAGGACACATTAAGGTCAAAGCAAACGATCTAACAATTTAAAAATAATCAACTTATTATGTATTCACTTTTTAACGCCATGCCAGCATCAAGGCTAATAATCAACTTATGATAGATGATAACATGTAATGTTGATGGAAACAACAACCCAACACTATCTATTGCAAATTTCTACGCACAGCGTTTTTAAAAGGTACATTTACAGGGAATGCCTGGCATTCTGTCACCTTACTGCTGCCCACATAAGGCAACACATCAGTACGAGCCAAAAGCAGGTCAGGAGTGCACACACACCTCACTCCCTGCACCGGGGAAACCCCTCCTATACTGCACGCTTCATAGATTGACTAATGCCATCTCCACACCACATGAAGACAGCAAACTTCCCCACTCGCCACAGACTTTGCTTTGAATCTTCAAATTGGATGGGTGTCATTGTATATAAACCTGAGCTGGTTTAGTTCACATGTTTTGGGAGAAAGAAAAAGCACACTGAACACAAAGTGTTTTGCAAACTGGTGTAAGCGTAGTAAAATTAACATCCCCACATTTGAATCAGTAAGTAACTTCTAACCACTGAAAGCAGCAGAAGCAACCATTTAAACCGCTGGCTTTAGACGTCCAAACCATCATATTTAAAGAACAGCATATTACTCAAAGTTGATACACCCTGTCTACAACAGACACAACTGATGACCACAACAGCTGGAGTCAGTCCACACTAGAAGCTGCAAGCTATTGCACAATGTTCACTAACTCAAACCAATCCGCTGTAAGCTCAAATAAATGAATGATTACTTATATATACACAACTAAGCTGCAACAACTGATAAATGGCTGGTTTTATAATTAGAAAATATTTCATCCAAAAAAAAGTGAATTTAGGCATCACAACATTTTAATGTACAATATTAAAAATATTAAAATTAAATTGAGATTTGAGATGACATTTTACAGGTGTCATCAAGTGTTATTAAATGTTAAGTGTTTGTGTGTTTTTTGGGGGGGGGGGGTATTCTTATGATTAATGAGGCCGCATTTATATAATCGAAAATTCAGGATAACCGTAATATTGCTAATAATAGAAAACTGTTCTCTATTGTAATATCTTTTAAAATGTAATTTATTCCTGTGATTTCAAAGCTGAATTTTCAGCATCATTACTCCAGTCTTCAGTGTCACATGATCTTCAGAAATCATGCTAATATGCTGATTTGCTGCTCAAGAAACATTTTATCATCAACACTGCTAAAATCAGTTGCACTTTCTGTAGAAACAGTGATATTGATAGTATTGCCCTTTAAAAAAATAAATATAGTTTTTCTGTAATTTTATAACTGCAAATATCTTAGTGACCCCGAGCCTTGGACTGTAGAATATTTAATCTATAGTATAAAAAAATAAAAAGTGTGTAATATCAGCCAGTAACCAATATTGTACCGGTATATTGTGCATCCCCAAATAAAACTCTAGTTTTCCTAAAAAGCTGAAACAAGAGAGTAATCCTCTAATCACCTGTTCAAACTTCCAGCCATCTGACATGGTGGAGACCATCTGTGTCAGTTCCTCCTCCTGACACTGCAGGACTCTGTAGACGTGCTTCACAGGGAGCTGAAGAAAGAGGAAACGCATGAGAAGACAGAAAAATACTATATGAAGAGGCAAGGCAAACCTTTTCTTGCTTTTTTTTTGTCAGTGCTCTGATTTAACTGTAAAATGACTGCCATTCCTGCAGATCCACAAACGTCATCAGATTAAGCTGAGAAGGCAGATTTCAGAGGACACATTTGTCACGGGATACTGCAAGAACATTTTGAAAGGACCTGGAAGTGCTGTGGAAGATGAACCTATGCAAAAGAAAGGTCTGCAGAATCACCCAAGTTACATATATTTCTGACTGATTAACATGTTTGAAATCATGGGCCTCATTTATGAAACATGAACAGAACAAATGTGTAAATAATCTGTTTAATAAATAAAGTCTTTCATATTTATGGGTGACACCATTAAAAATTTAGTTTTTTTTTTTTTTTCACTTAAGGCTTTTTATTTTAAATCATTTGAACACTTTAAAATATCTTCTTTTTTTTTTTTTTTGTGACCAATCTGGAATCTGAGGGTGCAAAAAAAATCTCCTTTAAAGTTGTCCAAATGATGTCCTTAGCAATGCATATTACTAATAAAAAATTAAGTTTTAATATATTTATAGTAGGAAATTGACTAAATATCTTCATGAAACATGATCTTTACTTAATATCCTAATGATTTTGGGCATAAAAGAAAAACTGATCATTTTGACCCAAACAATGTTTTTTGGCTATTGCTAAAAACATACCCCAGCGACTTATGATTGGTTTTGTGCTCCAGGGTCACATTTATGAGTTAGTTTCATGTTTCCAATGAGCACAAGTAGATATACAGTACACTTTTATACCCCTGCAGCACAACCCTTTTTCTATATTTTAAGGATTTACATACAATTTTTCTAATAATATACTTAAAATTTTGTTAGATATGTGAAGTAGCATAACAATCGTAAAATAAATAAAAAAAGAAATCAAAATTACATTCAAGTTCCCAATTTGACGTACCTGCGCCGTCTTACAATCCATCTCCCTGATTTTGTCTTTGACCAGTTTAATCAATGAAGTGATATTGTAGAATTCAGCCTCTTCCAGCACGCCTGGCGGATGAAACAGATGAAATATTGAATCAAAAACCACATATCATACACAAAACGGCTTAATGTCACAAACAAGTTTCAGCTGAATTTAGCTGCCAGTGAGAAAACAGAAGAAACCTAACAGCATGTTCAGACATATCTTACAGTTCTTGATGGCATTCCCATCATACCTTCCTCTGCTAGGCCTCGGTTCAGCACCAGCTTTCCATGTCTCAGATAGTTGAGCACCGGACCAAAATAAGTGGGATCGCGGTCTATCAAATAAGCACCCGTTTCATCCTGGATGAGGAAAGAGCATTGTTAGTACCGCAAGACTCGTCTCCAAAGGATTTCAGCATAATAGACATCATTTATTAAAATGTGGGTTATTAAATCAGGCTTAGCAGCTCACCAGATAGTTTGTTTAGATCAGTATCAGTACTGAAGAGTGTCTGTTAAGACAACGTGTGGCTGACATTTAACATACATGCTGCAGAGCCCATAGGGACGCTGATCCACCTCCAGCACAACATCATTACCACGGATCAATACTCAGGTCGGAAAAGTGAGCTTTATTCCACAATGTTTACGCTCAAACTAAAGTAACTGGCAAGTGAAACTTTACAGTTCAATCACGCAACGAAAACTTCTTTAACTGTAAGAAATATTTTTGACTGTAAGAAATTCGGTGTCTTTTTAGCGGCTTTCAACTGTCGTTGCCCTAATAAATGATGCATACTGACCTTTAAAAGTTTAAAAGCATCCAGGCAACCCTATTACTTCTTCTGTCACAAAGAAGAAACTAGACGAGTTATTAAAAAGACCAATATACTTGTTTGACATGATAAATAATCAAACCCGGTGCATAACATATATTAGCACTAATTAAACCAGTTTAATCAGTTGCCAATTCTATTCTGGATCAGTTCCTCCCAAGTATAGCGAGTTTTAAGTATTAAAATAGTTATTTATTCATAGAGTTATTCACATCATTATTCAGTTAGTTATTTTCCATTTTGCTGGCAATTTTAAACAAATTTAATATAGGAATGAAAACCTTAAATATGTAAACTAATTTAAAAAATGACAAAAACATAAACTTGTATGATTTCCCTACTGTAAACTCACCATTGTTTTTTTATCGTTTACTCCAGATAAACACTAGCAAAAGTATTTTATTGTTTAATAGGATAATTAATATTAAATAGGGTTGCAAAAACGTGGAAAATTTCCAGCAAGTTTCAGAAGCTTTCCAGAATTGTTTGGAATCTTCCAGGGATTTTTGGAAAGCGTCCAGAAACGTAACCCTAGATATAGATAGATATAGAACCCTAATATTAATACAGTTCATATTTTAACTGGTTTAGAACACCATTTTAACACAACAGTTAATATATCTTAGGTTTATTCAGATAAACAGTAGTACAACTACTTTATATTTCGGTAACACTTCACATAAGATAGCATAGCATTAGACAATGTGTTTGATATTATGAACTACCAATGAGCATTTAATAATCTTGGTTAATTGTCAAACATACATTATTTTGAATTGTTAGCTAATGTGAAAATATACAATTGTTCATATAAATATACAATAAATGCTGTAAAAGTATTGATCATTATTAGTTCCTAATGCTTTTAGACAGTCGTGTGAAGGGTTACCAATACGTAAAGAGTTTAATCAGATAATAGCTAGTCACTTAGTTTCGAGGTTTCCAGCCAGACAGACGGTTACTAACAAAGACTAGTAAGGGGTTACTTGGACAAGCATTAGTAGTTTGTAATACTTGTGGTTTAGCGAGAACACCACTAGTATCAAGTTCTTCAGTTAGCACTTGACAAGTAACGTAATAAAACATTATAGACGAGGTGTTCTCGTATTGCAACATTACAGGCTTAAGCGAACTGATGCTATTTAAAATATACTGCAAACGACCTCTTTAACTAGATCTGACTTTACTTGGCTAACAAGCTAACGCTGCATCAAGTGTTATCGGTTAGGCTAAGCTAGTAAGCGGAGCTCCATTCACTGTAACTTTACCAGCTAGCCGTCTAGCTACAATATGAAAATATAGCGAAATGTAACACTACAGACCCGTCATTTTGAGTTTTTCCAGGTTAGCCGAACTGTTTAAAGCCCAGATAAGCGAAGTGGCGGCTAATGTTTATTGTCATGCTAGCGGTATGATAAATACCTTGTCAGAGTCGAGGTCGGGGTCGGCCTGGCACAGGCGGTACAGGAAAGACTTCGGGTCTCTGCACAGCGTTTGTCTCGTCGTGAGAAAGTACGTGCCGCCGACGTTCAGACGAACCCATCTGGACGAGCCGCTTGCAGACGGCTGCAGTCTCTCTCCGGGAGAAAGAGCGGGACACCTGCGAGCGCTCGAGCCGCTCGGGTCAGGGCTCTTCTCCGCCATCCCTCCTCTGCTCTCCCGTTGCCTTCACTGGTGATGGAACTGAGCGAGAGCAGGAAGTGTGCGGAGTTTGAGAGCCGCTGTGCCCTCCCATCCAAGCCAAACACACCGGCTGTGACTCCAAACACACAGTGCTGACTATCCAGACCGCACACTTTTGGCACCCAAGAACGCTGCGCGCGCAGGGATGCCCAAGAGTTCTGCCTAGATAGGCAGCTCGGTAAGCTTTGACACACACAACCATGAATGTGTTTTTTTTGTTTGTTTTTTGTTTTTTATTCAAACTGTTAGGACTTTTTATACCCTACAGGAATTTTCTTTTTTCTTTTCCTTTTTTCCCCTCAAACTTCTTTTTTTAGTTCTAAGAAATTATGTAATTAAAAAAGCAGAAGTGGGCTGACAAGGACGTCATTGAAAAATCATGCTTTGGTAGATCTTAAAAATGTGACCCTGGACCACAAAACCATAAGTCATAAGTCGCTGGGGTATATTTTTAGCAATAGCCAAAAATACATTGTATGGGTCAAAATTATCGATTTTTCTTTTAAGCCAAAAATCATTAGGATATTAAGTAAAGATCATGTTCCTTGAAGATATTTTGTAAATTTCCTACTGTAAATATATCAAAACTTCATTTTTGATTAGTAGTATGCATTGCTAAGAACTTCCTTAGGACAACATTAAAGGCAATTTTCTCAATATTTTGATAATTTTTTTTGTTTGTTTGTTTTTTTTTGCACCCTCAGATTCCAGATTTTCAAATAGTTGTATCTCGGCCAAATATTGTTGTATCCTAACAAACCATACATCAATGGAATGTTTATATTTCCAGCTCGCAGATGATGAATAAATGTCAATTTCCAAAAACTGACCCGTATGACTGGTTTTGTGATGCTTTGGTAGATCTTAAAAATGTGACCCTGGACCACAAAACCATAAGTCATAAGTCGCTGGGGTATATTTTTAGCAATAGCCAAAAATACATTGTATGGGTCAAAATTATCGATTTTTCTTTTAAGCCAAAAATCATTAGGATATTAAGTAAAGATCATGTTCCTTGAAGATATTTTGTAAATTTCCTACTGTAAATATATCAAAACTTCATTTTTGATTAGTGATATGCATTGCTAAGAACTTCCTTAGGACAACATTAAAGGCAATTTTCTCAATATTTTGATAATTTTTTTTGTTTGTTTGTTTTTTTTGCACCCTCAGATTCCAGATTTTCAAATAGTTGTATCTCGGCCAAATATTGTTGTATCCTAACAAACCATACATCAATGGAAAGTTTATATTTCCAGCTCGCAGATGATGAATAAATGTCAATTTCCAAAAACTGACCCGTATGACTGGTTTTGTAGTCCATGGTCACATATAACAAAGTGATTATAACATAGCTTAAAAGTTGAAATGTTGAGACAAAAAGTGAATTATGACAGATAAAAAGTCAGTTATGAGATAAAAAGTCATACTTATAAAATACTATGAGATAAAAGATCAAATATGACAACAATTTGAAATTATGAGGAGCTAAGTCATAATTATGAGATTCAAATTTGAAGTCAAAAGCAATTAAAGCATACTAAATCAAAATTATGATATACTAAGTCATAATTGATAGAAGTCAAAATTATGAGATACAATTGTAAAAGTTGAACTGACTACATTTTGACTGTCCGTCTTAGTCATAATTTTATGTCATAATTATGATTTACAAAAGCAATATACTTTTTCTTATTCTGTGAGAACAGGCTTCCATAATGAAATAGTCAGTGTTTCTTTGGTTTAATCGATCAAATATGACAACAATTTGAAATTATGAGGAGCTAAGTCATAATTATGAGATTCAAATTTGAAGTAAAAAGCAATTAAAACATACTAAATCAAAATTATGATATACTAAGTCATAATTGATAGAAGTCACAATATAAGATACAGATACAATTGTAAAAGTTGAACTGACTACATTTTGACTGTCCGTCTTAGTCATAATTTTATGTCATAATTATGATTTACAAAAGCAATATACTTTTTCTTATTCTGTGAGAACAGGCTTCCATAATGAAATAGTCAGTGTTTCTTTGGTTTAATCAGATACACATTTAATATATCAATGGTTTAGTTTGACAAACACAAGTAGAACAGTTCCTATTTCAATGGCTTAGATAAGTTTAGTGATCTAGTTTATATTTCTATGGTTTAATCAGATCATTTATCTGCATCAGTGCTATGTGTGTGCATGCTTGTGTTCTCGTGCAATACGCATCGAATAAAGACTGTTTGAGTGAGCCACGTGAAGCCTGATAATACAAAAGACAGTACAGCGAATAGCAGGCATGTGTTTCTCATAGCTGTTGTTTTTCTGTGTATATGTTTACCTTAAAACCTGGAAAGCTGAATGGTGAGTTCATTCGGTATGACCTCATTTCAGCGCTGCAAGATGTTGAGAAATGAAAACAGCCAGCATGCATGAGAGAGCCAAATGTACAAGACATGGAAAGTCTATTGGGAGCTGTTGTCTTAGCACTGCTGTCTCGCACATGTCAGAAACACAAGCAGAAAGATGTTACTCTTCATATACACTTTTATTAGCATGATTTTCTCCTGGACATTCTTTAGTATCATTAAAGGTGCACAGAAACCCAAGGGCATAAACATTGAATCTGATATAATTTAAGTGACCTGATTAGGACACACAAAAATATTGCAAAATATTACAGCCATCATTTACATTCAAAGGCTTTACATCTCAATATTTACAACACGTGGCCCCTGAACATGAGTCCATTAAAATCTCTGAATATTAGAATATAAATAATATTAGGTACTACAGGCTGAGCCACTGCCAGCAAATGGCCTTATATAAGAATAAAATTATACAAGGTGCAAATCCAGTAACACCGTGTTACTTTCTGAATAATACATCATCTGTACATCACAGTTACATTCGTTGGCAAACCTAGTCGTGTTATAAATACACAATTGAACAATTCCTCAAAAAATGCAAGGAGAAAACACACTTCTGTGCTTGGTTCTCACTTAGTTACAGCATTTTCGTTTGTCTGTGCTGGACCAGCATCCTTTTAAATGTACAATAAAGTGGTCAAAAACTGCATCTGCAAACACGGCCCTTATTTACAGTTGCAATTCTCTTCACAGCTCAATTCCCGTAGGTATAACACCATATTTACACTGCAAGAGAGTGACCCGGCTCGACAAAACGTGACTGTTGACAGCCGTCCGCTTTTGTCGCAACACCTAAGGCTGCTCGCTTGCTGTGCATACTGTGTAACGTACCTTATCAAGTACTTATTTTCAAACTAAACCAATGTTTATAAATAAAGTATAATATGAAACAAATATATACAGCAGATTTAAGGAGCCCAGTGCAAGTTTCACATGTGAAACCACAAAAAAATCCATTGCTGGGTACATTTCAGACTAAATATAACGGCTCAAAAGTGATTCTTTTTCAGATGATGATAATTACATGTAATATGACATAATACAGGTGAACAACATGACTTAGAGAATAAATATAAATATATTAATGATATGTGTATCAATTTAATATGTACTTGACCTGTAGGATCATTTGAGTGTCCTCTATAGCTATCCTTATTATTTTAAAAGGCAACAGATTGAGTGTTTCCCCCTCCCCCCCCCAAGCTTTTGGGATACTTCCTATGTATATACATATCTACATACACATATATAGAGTACAAATTGTGGATTTGCTGAGTTTTACTAATCTTTGATTTTATATTACACCTGCTAAATATGACAAAAACACTGCAAGCAAAACATCTTTTTACTTCAAGAAGGAATGTTGATGCACTAGTCCCATAAATGCACAGTTGACTTCCTGATTGGTAGCTGAATGGTGAAGGACTCAGACCTCTAAGCCTTGCCTTGACTCCAGTGGTCTTCTGATGCCCCAGCACGCTAGTAGTCTCTTATTAGTGATATACTGTTCCCCACACCTCTTGAATCTTCTTACACCATTTGTCCGCATTACCATTGGGATCCATGAGATAATATGTCCTGTTTGGCTGCACATGAGAAAACAATAAAAAGATTTAGCAGCATTTAGCAAAGTCCCAAGAAGTACCATGATATCACCATGTTTTCTTTGGATATGTAACCTTAGAGCACCATGTTAATACTACGTCATATAAATTATATTTACTAATCAGTCAGTATGATGCATTTATTAAAGTACCATACATTTAAAGAAATATTTCACTCAAAAAAATGATAATCTGATGAAAATGTACTCACCCTCAGGCCATCCTAGATGTAGATGAGGGTTTTTTTTTTTGGATCTGAACAGATTTCTAGAAATTTAGCATTACATGACTTGCTCACCAATGGATCCTCTGCAGTGAATGGGTGCCGTCAGAATGAGACTCCAAACTCCAACTCCAGTCCATCAATTAACATCGTGTGAAGTGAAAAGCTATGTGTTTGTAAGAAACAAATCCTGATTTAGACAAGATGACGTTTTCACTGGAAAAGCAATATTATGGATAGAGCACTCATATTTTAGTGGGAAGCAAAGGTTTGAAGTTAAAACATCTTAATGATGGATTTGTTTCCTACAAATACATGACTTTTCACTTCACAAGATGTTAACTGATGGACTGGAGCCGTGTGTATTACTTGTGGATTATTGTGATGTTTTTATCAGCTGTTTGGACTCTCATTCTGACGGCACCCATTCACTGCAGAGGATCCATTGGCGAACAAGTGATGTAATACTACACTTCTCCAAATCTGTTTCCGATGAAGAAACAAACTAATTTCCATCTTGGATGGCCTGAGGGTGAGTACATTTTCTGAGTACAAATTAAAAATTTTGGGTTAACTATTCATTTAAAGGAGACATATTATGCCCCTTTTTACAATATGTAATATAAGTCTCTGGTGTCTCCAGAATGTGTCTGTGAAGTTTCAGCTCAAAATACCCCACAGATCATTTATTATATCATTTTGAAAATGCCCATTTTGAGTGGAAGCAGAAACACTGTTTATCGCATCTGTCTCTTTAAATGCAAATGAGCTGCTGCTCCCCGCCCCCTTTTCCAGCTTTTCCAGAATAGAGCTGTGCCATTACAGCACATACCTGCTAAAACATCTGTTTTGGTTCTGATTATGTTTATCGCGCTGAAATCATGCGTTTCAAACCATATGAGTTTAAACTTCTGATATACGGTTTTCTGAGTGCACACATCCGAAGCACACGGACAGAAAGCGGC